TGCTGAACCAGGCTGTTCTATTTTTTAAACATAGGTCACCATGATATATATTGGGTCATCAGAAAAGTCATGATGCATTTTTTAAAAGAATTATTTATTTAATTTGATTTATTCATTCATTCAATCTTAATTTGGCCAGAGAGAGAGACACAGAGAAAGAGAAAGAGGGAAAGTGAGAAAGCAAGCCTCTAGGTTCGGGACTTGAATGGTGGTAAGCCATGTGGGAGTGTTCAGTGCCTTAACTACCATGCCACCTGCTCGTCCCATCATGATGCATTTTTGCACAGAAAATGATGACCCAATATATATAATATAGCTTCTTTTACATCTATTTAGTTTCTATTTCCTTATTTATTTAGTTTCAATTTCCTTATTTAGTTTCTATTTAGTTTCAATTTCCTTATTTATTAAAAAAGTTGATCACTAAGGGTTCTTCCAGCATTGGAATCAATGTCAGGACCTATGTCCACGTAATTAAACCTATACAAACAATGGCGATAAGTGGCCCAGCTCTGATTGTCAATTTAGCCCTTCAATGTTTGGTTTAATATTTATCACTGAGAGTTGGGAGTTTAATTAGATTTCAGTGTCTTCTGATGAAATTTGAGTTTAAACATCTGTCTCCTGTCTACTTGTCCACAGTTTCCTATGTTGTCTTTGAGAACTTTCCTCAGTCTTGTCTATGTATAAGAATTCTCCGAAGGAGAAATTTTATTTTTAAGTTTATTTATTTATTTTTGAGAGAGCAGGAGGAATCCCTGAAGGGTTTTCACACCATAATCCACTCCCAGTCTCCGCTAGCTAAATCAAGGACACATGTGCATGCCTGATGTGCTCCAGGAGGGTCCATGCTGCAAACCCAGGACCTTCCCCATGTGGATCCAGTTGCATCACCACGGTGCCACTGCCTGGCCCCAAGGAGATGTTTTGTTATATGCACTTTTTGCCTGCCGAGAGGCTGTAAACTTCTCAGGTCAGCAGTCAGAGTAACTTAACTCAAGGATTAAGGACCCAGGACACTCACAAGTCATAATGGTTAATTTCATGTATCAACTTGAGAAGGTTAGAGGGATGCCCAGAGAGCTAGTAAAACAGTATTTCTGGTATCTGTGTACTTGTGAGTGTTTCTAGAAGTGATTAGCATTTAAATAGACTGAGTAAAAAAAGATTGTCCTCATCAATTCGGTGGTCATCATCCAATCCACTGAGGGCCAGAATTGAACGAAAAGAGAAAGGAAGACAGATGTGCTTTTTATTGGAGCTGGAAAGCTATCTTCTCCTGCCCTGAGACATCAGACCTCCTGGTTCTCAAGCCTTGGGACCTGTATGAGGACTTACATTATTGGTTTCCTTGGTTCTAAGTCCTTTGGGTTTGGAGTAGAACTACACCATAGGCTTTCCTGATTCTCCAGCTTGCAGAAGGCAGATTATAGCACTTCTCAGCCTTCATAGTCTGTGAGCTAGTCCCTCATAACAAATCTCCTATATAGGAGGGGACTTCAAAAAGTTAGTGGGAAATGGTATTAAAGTACAAGTTTAGGGCCAGCCAAGTTGCATAGTGGCTAAGGTGACTAGATCCCACATGGCCAACTGCAGTTTGAGTTCTGGACTGGGCAGCTTGAAAATCACACCAGATGCTTATGTGTGCATGTCCAAAATTCTGAGAGGAGAATGGAGGGGAAGGGACTGCAGTATGGCCATCTTCCTGGGAGTTCTTCTCTCTCTTTCTCTCTCTCTGTCTACAGCGAATGACACACCTTATAGCAATTTATTTTAAAGGAAAATAGTTTAAGTTTATTTTGGTAAAAACAACATTTTTAAATCCATGCATAGTCTTTTTTATGGTATACATTTTCCACAAACTTTTTTCTAAAGCCCCTTTTTCCCCCTTTCTTTCTTCATGATAGAGCTGTGTACACACATGTGCGAGTAAGAGAGATGAGGATCCCGGTCACACCAAAATCTCCTTCCTCCATTCCTCCAGCCCATAGGATCTTGGGTACTCACGTGCCTGCCCAGCAGGTTTCAAACTGACCGCAGGAGGGACTTGAACCATGGTCAGTACATGGTGGGATCTGGCTTCTCTTGAGCAGGGCATTATCACTGTGCCATCGAGTCAGTCTTTCTGTGAACTTTTTGAATACTCATATCTGTAGATATCCTATTGGTTTTGTTTCTCTGGAGAACCCCCGGGGTGGAGGGAGAAGGACACTAGATAAATATTTATTTCCCCCAGATAAATTCAGACATTGAAAATTCATATATTGAAATCCTAACCCAGGAGCTGATGGTATTAGGAGGTAGGGCCTTTGGGAGATCATTAACTTGTGAAAGGGATTCATACCTTTGTCAAAGAGACCCTGATGAAGTCTCTTGCCCCCTTTTCCCTGTGAGGACACAGGGAGAAAATGGTGTCTATCTATGAGCCAGATACTAAATTTGCCAGTGCCTTGATAGCAAACTTCCCAAACTCTAGAACTATGAGAAATCTCGATTGCCTATAAGCTACCCAATTAATGGAATTTTGTTGATCCAAACACAGTAAGACACAAGCCACATTTTTTACATTTGGTCAATTTTCAGTTAATTTCTCATAGATTTGTTAGTCAGTAAACTTGTGCTACCTCCTCACATAACTTCATCAAGGACAACCAGAAATTGTGACGCCAGTTTTGAAGCACTTCCACACGAAAGTGTCAGCACTATGAAATTGTCCAGTTGATAAGGAACATCAAACTGAAGAGGGGAACGTCCCTCATAAAGAAAATATCATTTGGGTCTAAAAAACAGACATGGTTTGTGGAAGACCATCTCTTCACTTCTATGTATCAGGGGTTAGTAAGTACTGGCTTTTTATTGTATTGTCTGATAAAATTATCAACGGCCTAAGTTACTGTTTAAGCCAGCCATACTAATCCGTGTGTGTGTGTGTGTGTGTGTGTGTGTGAGAGAGAGAGAGAGAGAGAGAGAAAAGAGAGAGAGAGAGAAAAGAGAGAGAGAGAGAAAAAACATGTTTCTTCATCTAGTATTTAGATGAAGGAGGAGGAGAAGGAGAAGGAGTCTAGTCTCTTTCAATGACAATTTCATATTTAGCTCAAGCGTGCTGTCTCTCACTTCCTGTTATGCATTTACTTCTCAATTAAAAAAAAACAAAAAGCTCCAGTCCAAGTGGTGTACACCTGTAGTCCCAGCTACCTGGGAGGTGAAGGCAAGAGTATCACAATATACTGAGAACTTGTCTAAAAAATAAAAAATTTTAAAGATCGCTTTTAAAAATGAGGTAGTTCTAAATAAGTTAATTTGTGTGTGTGTGGGGGGGGGAGTCCAAGATACACTGTTAAATAGAAAATTTCAGGATAATATTTTATAACATCCCATTTAGATTTTTTTTTAGAATTATTTATTTTAATTTTATTTATTCATTCGTTTTATTTATTTTAATTTGACCAGAAAGACACAGAGAGAGAGAGAGAGAGGGAAAGTGAGAAAGCAAGCCACCAGGTCTGAGACTCGAACCGTGGTCGGCCATGTGGGAATCCCGCGCCCCTATCCACCACACCACTTGCCGGCCCCACATCCCATTTAGATTTTTAAAAGGGGGATATTGGAGGGTTAGCAGGTGACGTGGTGGTTGAGGGTACTAGAATCCCACATGGCCAACTGTGGTTCAAATACAGGACCTGGCAGCTCGCTTTCTTACTTTCTCTCTCTCTCTCTCCCCCTCTCTGGTCAAATAAATAAATAAATAAATTTAAATAAAATAATTCTTAAAAAGGGGGGGGGTATGGGGACCAGCAGGTGATGTGGACTGCCATGTGGGTGACAATGGTTCAAGTTCTGTACCTGGTGACTTGCTTTCTCATTTTCTCTCTCTTTCTCTATCTCCATCTCTCTCTAGTGAGCACATGTGCCCTATAGTAAATAAAAAATAAATACGAAGAAGAAATAAGAAAAAAAGGGAGGATGGGAGATAAATTTTGTTTTTATAAGCCCAGAACAATTCTGAAACAGAAAACAAAATGTGGTTACCTCTGAGGAATGGAAACTGGGAAGTTGGAGTGGAAGTTGCAGCCAGAGGAAATCAGAAATGTAGGAAGGAGTAACCTTAGAGACATTTCCTTTTCACTTTATATTTCTGTACAGTTTCTTGCTGGTGTTTATTTTTTAATGCCAGGTATGCATATGCTACAGAGAGAGAGAGAAAGCACTTCCTGGTCACACTGAAATCCTGCTCCCCGATTTGTCCATCTTGTCAGGATCCTGGACATGTTCACTTGCACATCTGATGTGTTGCTGCTGGGGCTGGGACTCGGATCATGGTGGGCCATGAGAGATCCACTCCTTCTGCATAGCACTTAACTACTGTGCTAGAGGACCAAGCTTTCTGTATGCTGTTTTGAGTTCTGTTTGTTTGTTTGTTTTTAAATTACATGCTTTTAATGTTTTGTTTTGTTTTAAAATTGGGGCTAGTAGGTGGTATGGAGATTAGGATTCTGGATTCTCATGTGGCTGACCATGGTTCAAGTCCTGGACCTGGTGGCTTGATGAACATGCCGGGCACGTGTGCATGCATGCCCAAAATCAGAGGGAATGGAGGAGAAGGGATGTAGTTTGGCCATTCCCTCTGGGAGGGTGATTTCTCACTTTCCCCCTCTCTTATCTCTCTTCAGTGAATGCGTGTGCCCATGGCAAAAACAAACTAGTGTTTATTTATGTATAAAACTCATTCCTCCATCACACACAAAAACAAATTTTTAAATAATTTATTGCCTAAGGATCTAGAACCTTTCGTCTTGGCAAGTCAGGAGTCCACAGCTTTTTATTCACTCTTCACCATTGCTTCATATTTTTAAGCTTTCATAACACCTTAAATGTTGTAAAAGAGAGGAACAGATTAAGTATAGAAACCACCTTTGCACACTGTATACTCTTTTAAATGAAGCATAAGTAACAGGATCCTTTTCTTATCACCTTTTAAAACCTACAGCAATAGCTATGGCTTGTTCTGTCTCTCTGCCAATTATGATTCTCAGGCTGATGTCTGTGGGGCCTATATCATCACAAGTCAACAACCATTGTCAAAATGCCCTCTGTTAGATAGTCGTATTGGTGATTTTCGAACAATGCTTTGCACACTAGAAAACAACAGTGGGGAATTTACTGCTGTAGAAAGTTGGTACATTGTGAGAAAAGCTGCCCAATGGGTTTTGAACACCCTGTCTTTTACACTGGTTAAATAAACTAATAACATCTTACAGCGTTTCACCATTTTGTACTAGTAGCACATAGTGACGAAGAATGTGAGATTTTCCTGGGGCTAGCACATGGTATGATAATTAAGGGGCTGGACTCTCACATGGCAGGCTGCAGATTTGAGTCTCAGACTGGCAACTTGAAAATCATGTTGGGAGCATATGCATGCAGTTCCAAAATCCCAGGAGGAAAATGGAGAAATTTCGGAGAAGGGATTGTAGCATGTCCATCCTCCTTGGGGGATGATTTATCATTTTCGCTCTATCTTTGGTGAGTGCACATACCCTATAGTAAAAACCAAAAAAAAAAAAAGAGTATGAGATATTCCTAATACTGCTTGCTTTATCTCTCAATTTTACAGCAATCTTTCAATGAACCTGAAGAAGTGCAATAAAAGGGTGTGTGTTGGGCTGGAGGGAGGGGGTTGTTTAGATAGCTCCTTACTAGATGAGCAAAGTCAGTGGGGAACAAAGAGTGGCAGATGATTTGCAAAGTTTCCAAAATGGTATTTTTAACTATGATGGGTAATACGAAACCAGCTAGAAAAATGTGGCAAATATATTTTCTCTCTAATTTCATGATGAGAGCGCTGTTGTTGCTTATTTAAAAAAATATATATTTATTTAATTTTATCTATTCATTCATTTATTTTAATTTGACCAAAGAGAAACAGAGAGGGAGGGGGAGTGAGAAAGAAAGCAAGCCACCAAGTCCAGGACTGGAACCAAGGTCGGCCACATGGGAATGTACAGCGCCTAACCCACCACACCACGTGCTAGTCCCCCACTGTTGTTGCTTCTTAAATAAGGCAAAATAGTAACATTTAAGTTTCTCTTGAGCAGTTCATCATTTCTTGTGGCTATTCTCATTGCTATTTTTTACTTAACCAAATAGGGATTCTCACTAGGTAGGTACAATGTTTATAAAACTACAACCTAAGGATTTAGTTTAGGCCAATATGAGGAGAAAAAAAATCTATTTTATACAATTAAAAATAACTTAAGAGGGCCAGCCCATGGCCTGGAGGTTTAGAACTGAATCCCACTTGACCGATTTTATGTTCCACTCCTGGTCCCAGCAGCTTGAAAAATACACCAGGGATGTGTGCACGTGTGTCCAAAATCCTGAAAGGAAGGGGAGACGGAGAACAGATTGTGCTGTGAACATTGCCCACGGGGAGTGCTTTTTCCCTCTTCATCTTTCCCTGTCACTTTCTGGAGAGCACATGTGCCCCCTGGATAATTAAAAATTTTTAAAAAAGCCAGTCAGTAGTATGGTGGTTAAGATGGCTGGATCCCATACAGCTGACCTGCAGTTTGAGTCCCAGATCCAGCAGCTTGTAAAACACTCTAAGTGCACGTGCACACATCCCCAAAATCCCAAGAGGAGAAAAGAGGAAAAGGGACTACGGGGTGACCACCCCCTCTGGGAGGTGCCTTCTCACTTTCTCTCTCTCTCTCTCACCATTGAGCACACATGCCCTATAGCAAAATTAAACAGAGCAGAATAATTTGAGAAAACTGGAGTCCTTTGCGTGTACTTTCTCAAATATCATAAAACCTGTAAATTTTTAAAAATCTTCTTTCTTTTCTTTTTTTTTTTTTTCCCTTCTTTTTTAACATTTGCTATAGGGCGATTGCACTCACTGGAGAGAGACGGAAAGAGAGAGAAAGTCAGAAAACATCTCCTGGAGGGATGGCCACACTGGAATCCTTCCATTTCTCCCTCCTTTCTGGATTTTGGGCACACACACACATGCACACACGTGCACATGCCTGGTGTGTTTCTCAAGCCATTAGATCTGGGACTTGAACCGTGCAGTCGGTCATGTGGAATCCAGTCGCCCCAACCACTATGCCAAGTACTGACCCTATTTTATTTCTTTCCTTTTCATCATTGTTATCATATAGTACAACTACTCCCATACCTCTCTTCCCAAAATGCCACTAGGCTTTCTCTTGTCATCCTCTTTTTCAGCTCTTTGCTGTGACATCTGACCAAACCACGTAAGGCTATTTCCCCTGGCAAGGCCTAGCTGTCTTTGGAGGGTGGGAGAGGAAAGAACCAGCACAAAATTAAGCTAGGAAACTCTCCAGATGCAGGGGAAAAAGGGAAAGGCCAGAATGCTCAGACA